CTCAACGTGGTGCACCCTGGGCAACGTATACTCATACGGCAAAAATATCTATTAACCAGTAGTTGACTTTCGACTTCAAACTGCCATCACCTCACTGTATGTTATATTCGACTACTTCCATAGTACTCATCCCACCTTTTTCCTTTTTGAAACGCTCTTCTATTCCCACACCCTTCTCAATTTTTTTCACTTTGATGTTCAACCCCCTCTGTGAATACTGAAGTCAACTTAAGAGCTAATGATAACTATCATTTAGCCTACCATTTGATATAAATAAATAAATTAATAATTCTTGGAAAACTCATTTAATATCATTTACCCCTCTTCATAAATAATCTTTTATTCGCATTCAAAATGATATATTTGACAGTCGCATGTTTAAGCCACTTTCGTTTACACCAAAATGGGTTGTAAAAACAAGCATAAAAATATGAATTATTAAATTTAAGAACCAAGATAAATTTGAAACTTTTCTTTAAGTACAAGGCTATCGCATGTCTTTTTTGATTGTAACTTAACAGAAACAAGAATTATTATTATTATTAGTGTATCAGATCATGGGAAAATTTCCACATGAAAGAAGGAATTTACTATATTTTTGCGGAATAATTTTATTTAGTCATGGAAAAACCCTTTCTCATGAAAGATCCACTCTTCCTAATTTATTGAATAATTTCAATCTCTTTATTCTTCAGCACCTATGAGAATAGACCAAGACATCTGAAAACGCAATCTGGTCTAATGCAGAAAGCCACAGAACTGAAGAAAGCGTTACAAATCGATGATAAACCAAAAAGCCTCTCTCTCCCCATGAACCCATTAGCAGATATTGATGTAGTGTGTTACACCCAACTGCTCGACTTCTTCAGGAAATCAAACACTCCTCCAGAGCAAATGCGCTCACTGGTCCTTGAGACAATCAATGTCAACTATCCTGGAGATCAATGGCTCCAAGTCTTCACTGATGGGTCATACATAGAAAGCCAAGCAAACGTTGGTGCAGGTGTCTATTCTGAACTCTTCTCTTTCTACGCAGCAGCGGGACATAATAGATCCGCTTTTGAAGGAGAAATAGAGGCTATTAGGATAGCACTATGCCAATTATGTTGCCTGGATACAAAATTCACCAAAGCGGTGATACTTTCGGACTCATAGTCAGCAATAGACTCTATTGGAAACAGAGAGACACCCAAAATAGCTGAGATAAAGGAATGTAGAAAACTCTATGAGCTGCTGAGAGAGAAAAACAAAACAGTGGTCCTACAATGGATTCCTGGTCACTGTGGCATTAAAGGCAATGAGATTGCTGACACACTTGCTAAGAAGGGGACAACGATTTTGCAATGCATGGACCGGCCGATGTCTTTCCACACAATGAAGGCCTTAATCAGGAGAGAATTCCAGACCTCAAGGTTCAACGAACTCAAAGCTCGAACAAAGGAGAAACAGTGGACAGTGGCACTCTCCGACATACCCGACTGGCCAAGAATCGAAGCCGTTGCTGAGTTTAGACTACGTACCGGACACGATTGCTTGGCAAAACACCTTCACAGATTGGGAGTATACACTCAACCCACATGCCCTCTATGTAACCTACATGAGGAAATGGAGAAGACCCACCTGATTCGGTGTCCAGCCCTAAAAACAAGGACGGAAAGTCAAAGATACTGGGAAGCAAGAAGACTGCTAATGAACTCCTATAAATGTACCCCCCCTCTCTTGGGGGAAGCTGAAGTCAAAGATTAAGGGCTAATGATAAATATCATAAAGCCTGCCATTTGAAATAAATAAACAATTCCCGATCCCAATCAGAGAGTTCTTAGTATATTTGAGGTATTTTTAATTAGAAATACAAAGCTCTTATTTGAAGTTACGGTTGAGAATGACGCTATTCATTTACATATATAATGTGAACTGCAGAACGTGTCATATTTTTCGCCTGTGTGAGCATTCAGGTTAATGTTGCCAGCACTGTTATTTTGCTCTGCCTTCTTTGCTTGTATTGCAAAACAANTACCACTTTTCCTCTCAGACTGCAGATTCAGGAGGAACTGGAGAAGAGGACACAACAGTTCAACAGTGCATTGCTTTGTCTCCTCTCGGCACCTGCCTTCTTTTCTCTGAGTCACCTTCAAGCACACCACCTCCATGCTCTGGTGTCACGACTGGGTTCTCGGAGTTGAGCTTGAGACGTCGTCTAAGTCGGGGTTCGGACATCTCTCCTTCTTCTCAACTGACTCCCTTACCCTCTCTTGCCGTACAAAAGCCGATTTGCCTGACAATCTACTCAATTCTCGCTCAATCGTATGCCAAATTCACCCTAGTGAAGAGTCGGGATTTGCATTTGCCTGCGCAGCTTGGCGAAAGAGTCAATCAAGTTGTGGTTGTCACTGCCTCAATCTCTTTGGATGATTCTATGGTGATAATTGGACTGTCAAATGGTCGTTTGTGGATTTACTCACTAGACGAGATTGGATGGGTAGTGTGCATTGCCTCCTCAATACCTCTGAAAGCCAATCCGTTCTTTTCGGCACTCATGAGTGCTCGTACACCACGTCCAAAACCGGAATGTTCACCCCTAGATTCGAGTGTGGTGAGTACTACCTATTACCGAATTTCAGTGAATGTGTCTTCCAAAATGTTCAGTGGATGATAATTTGGAATGCAATTAAGGCATCTCAAGCATTTCCTTTTAAGAAAGGCGATTGTTGTCTAAGGCGGTAGAGTTGAGTTAAAAGGTGTTTTATATGTGGACGATGAATGGTGTTTCATTGCGGGTGGTTTTGCTTTTCTGCTACTGATGGACTTGATATGCATTGAGTATTTAGAGTTTCTGTTTCATATTTAATGAATCAGAATTACTAATGTATTGAAGCTATTAACAATCTCTACTGCAGAGTATTTAGCTTTTTGAAGAGAAAGCGCATAGATTTCTTTTTTATTGTTAATCATTCTCTAGTGGTAGTACTGAAATCGTATAAATGAGTTTCTTGATAAGCCTTTCTAGAAATTAAATTATAGATGTAAAGTTTATTCTGCCGTTTATTGGAGCGAATAACTGACTTGAGTATACTGCCTGGTCTTTCGAATGGTTACTAGCCTTTAAAGGTTTTAGTTTATTGATTATCAGTGCAATATGTGGTACATCCCAACCTAGAACAATAGCTTAGAGTTTGAAGAGAGAGAGAGAGATAGAGAAAGAATGGGATGTTTAGGTAGTTGAGATGAAATTAGTGACCAGTCACTTATTATGCAATTTGTAATCCATCTACACTCCTTGTGTGTGCTTTCCCAATGCAGATTTATTTGAGGAGATTGAAGTAATCAATACCGTGCATCAAAATGTGAGTCAGAATCTGTTTTTTTGGGACAATGGACCAATGAATGGACGATGGCTAAGTCGCCTTTGCTTTGACATGGTAATCGTGCTACCTTGCACTTCTGATATTCCAATCGTCATTGTAAACATTTTATTTTTAATTTTGTGTGCTTGGGCTCTTACATATCGCAGGAGAGTGCGTTCCTGCATAGATATTGGCAAGTGTTTTCAAGTAGAACTTTTAAACTTCACATACAATAGATTAATATCTTTATTATGATTGAGATTTGACAGAGTTTGACATCTTTGTGCATATTTTGAATATCTGAGAAATTCGAAAATGTGAATATAATGAGCTGAAATATTTGTTTCAACGAAACCACCATAAATGCCGAATGGCATAAGGAAAGTGATATTCATTTATTTGACTTGTTTAAAACAAAAGAAAGAGCTGAAAAGCAATCAATGTTGTAATGACCCCCCATTTGTATCATTTATTTATTTATATCAATTGGCGGGCGTTTTGATAGTTATCATTAGCCCTTTGGTTGACTTCAGGTTTCACAAAGGGGAAAGAACATCAAAGTGAAAAAAAGTCGAGAGAGGGGGGGAGAGAGGAACAGAAGAACGTTTCAAAGATGTAAAAGAGATAGACACAAAGGCAGAAAAAAGGCTAGATGAGTACCATGGAAGAGGTCGAATATGACATACAGTGGGGTGATGGTAGTTTGAAGTCAGAAGTCAACTGCCGGTTTATAGACTTTTATTTGCCGTATGAGTATACGTTTCCCAGGGTGCACCACGTGGAGGTAAGTCTGTCGCACACACCCCCCCCCTTCCCCTTTTGTATCAGTGTGTACTTGAAAGTATGGTCATATCTTGTAAAAATGCACTACAAATCGTAGACTTGTCGTACTTTTCATGAAATAATACTCCATGGTTCTTTCTTAAATGGAAGCAATGCATTTTTTGCACCAGTTGCAATATTCGCCAAGTATTTTATTGATCCAAAAACCTTGCTTTTTCTTCTCCTGGGTGTAACATTTTAGTATGCACAATTATCGTGCATAGCGGTTTTATGGTTCATATTTTCCAATGTCTTTGTAGTTTGTCAGAATAAGTTACGTGGGTGTTTACGTTCGCTTTCTCCAGAATTATTAGTACAAATAATCATAGCATTTCAAATTCCGCTGTGAAAGCGGAAAAAACTATTGAACTCTCAACCCTCCAATTAGCTTTTGAGGAAAATATTTTAGCCTGATTGTTTTCGAAATTTTGTCGGCATCTCACCGGTTCTTCCATCATGCGTTATATATATAAGTTTGACAGAAATCCTCTCTCCTTAACAGCTCCTTAACAGATAATTATCAGACGATAACATATCAAATTATTCTTGGCATAATTTTTCCATTAGGGGACACTAAAAGGAATCAAATTATGATATGACATTACAATCTAAAAAATGCTTTTTGGTTACCTATTTTGCTTTTTTTATGATTTACTGATTTAATGGACTTTGACAGCCTATTGGGAATTTCCCAATATTGTAGTAAAAATGGGATGGAATGCCTATTCATCTGGAATGAAAATGCATGAATGGAAAGGGGTAGATAAATTACCGATAGTAGACAATTGGTGATTTGGAAATGGGATTTGTCTAATTACTTTAAATTTCCCCACTCACGAATTGAAAAAATTCGCTTTTATTGTCTTCCCATGATCAGTCTCATCCAATTAATTAAATTTTGGCTTGTGAAGGCAAATTGCAATTTTTTTCGCCCTGGGCAACTTTATTATTAATATGTCCAGGTATATTTCATTTATTTCAAGGTTAACATGAAGCAGAAGTGTGACCACCAACTCACCTTGGACAAATTGCAGTCCGATATGCATCAGTACGGCTTCCTTGCATGACTAGATCTTTTGGTTGTGATATTTCCGTGGCGCGCGCACACATACAGAGACTTAATTTACGATTCCACTTCACTCCTTTGCTAATCTTTGTTGCGTTCATTTTTAAGTTAGACCAAATGAGGTGTGCGATAGACTTACCATTTAATATAAATAAATAAACGTTAGACCAAATTGAGCATTTCGGCTATCATGTGGGCAGGAAACGCATATTCAATTATTCAAATATGCCAGTAACTTTAGTGCAATTGCTTGGTTTAGATGGACGTGGTCAATAAATATATAGCTCAAGCTTGTTCATGAAATGAAATTAGGTTGCAGTTATTAGATTAGTATTTACTTTTCTTTTTCCTTCTTTGAGTGCTTTTTTTCCACACAATGTGATGATCTTGTGCATACGCATCACTCCATAGGATTCCAATTAACAACAACATCATTTTAAGTAGTCTATTTTGTTAAGTGTGCAAAAGTACGCCAACAAGTTAAAAGGTGACTCTGTCTCCTCATATATTGAACTTTGTCAGATAAATACAATAAATGAGCATTCGCACTGTGAAACTGACATTCTTCTATTCTCTGTTAGCAGTAGCATTCATTGAATATATGCGTTTATTGCTATCAGCTATTCATTAAATTAGCGCATATATTAAAACTTCTGATACGCGCATTTTGTCTAGAACTTCTTGACGTCCATGCGAACCTTTAGTCGGGCAGCCACTTTTAAGTTCTTTCTAGGCTATCTAGATACGTTAACAATTATTTTCTAGGAAATGAGCATTTGAGTCAAATGGGGATTATTATTCTCTCTCAAGTTTGCATATTCCTAATTCTGCATATAATGAAGTGCCCTTATTAAGTTTTGCTTTTTCGTTTATTATTTTGTAATGCTGTATATATACACCGGCTGATAGCTGACATTTCTCCTGTGGAATTATGTTTCATAGTGCTTGCCTATTCTTCTTATTTCAATAGTTTCGACCATAGTTTACAAAGCATAAAATGCGTAGGGGATAATCGAGTAAAATATAAATGCCGTGTTTAAACAACGTGCTAATTAGTTGACAGGAAAATCGAATTGTATTAGCTATTAGAAGGAGGATACTTCAATCATTTCAGGGTGCAAACGGAAACCGACAATTGACTTCCCCATTCAATCCCATATGATAGCTCAATGGACCACTTTGTCTCTATCCTTCTCGAGATGTTATTTCGTGGTTAAAAGTCGCCTTTTTTGTGTGTCTTCGTGTAGTTCTAAAGACGGTGGCATGTAAGAATAAATATATTCTCAAATTCGAACTTTGGTTTCTGTACTCTAATGAACCTTCCACATAATTTGCTTTAACTTTGTCTGGCATTTTGCGAATGAATAACTTTTAAACAATGATATTAATAATAATCTAATTTATTATTGTCGGCAAAAGTGGAAAGTATATTCGATCGCCTAAATGTAATTATGATATATCTATTTCATAACTTCGTTGTTTGTTTGAATACGGCTTCGTAAGGAATAATAATTTTTTTTGCAAATATTAACTACGCATTATTAAAAGAAATGAATAGCATAAAATAGTTTCAATCTTATAACCTAGCGATTTAAATATTTATAACAATACGATGCAGTTTAAACGGTATTACGTAAAATCAGAGATATATTTCCACATAACATGATAGAAATCCCTCCCAAATAAAAGATGAATTGCGAGAGAGATCAGAATTTAAATATTTCCTCCTTTAAAAGAGTCTTAATCTATTTCATATTCCAAAGTAATAGAATTTGACAACTTAATTAATCGAAGTGCTAAGATTCTCAAAGTTCATTATTGATTGAGTTTGTAAACATAATTATTTATTTATTAATATCTAATGGAGGGCGTTTTGATAGTTATCAGTTATTAGCCCTATAGCTGACTACGGGCTTCATTGAGGGGTGGGGCAAAAAAGTGACAAAAATTCGAGAGGAGGAACAGAAGAATGCTTTACAGATGTAAAGGTGGCAGACAGACAGACACAAAGACAGAGAAAAGGTAAGATGAGTACTTGAATATGACTTACAGTGGGATGATGGCAGTTTGAAGTCAGAAGTCAACTGCCGTTTAATAGATTCTTTTGCTGAATGAGTATACATTGCCCAGGGTGCACCTCGTGGAGGTAAGTCAATCGCACACCCCAACCTCGTAAACTTAGTAGCAACATATGATTGAAGATGCGATCTCAAAATTATTCATCAATTAATGCATCGGTGTTTGTAACCAATATTTAAAATGTCCTTCTATATATAACCCAATTTGAAAAGTGAATAATTATTAAAATTCTAAATCTTTTGAAATATGCTCACTCTTTGATCCATTCTGTTTTATTTACATTTAAAAATCTTATAAAAATTTCTGAATGCGTTCGCGTAATTTTACATTGCAGTGAATATAAAAAAGAAAAATATATTTTAAGCGCAAATATGGACTTTACGTTTCGTGGCAGTGGGGATTTGATTGTTTTCCTCTTAAAATCTATATTGACAGGTTATCGTTGTCAAAATATTTGATTGGAATTACTTTTAGTCAAGATAAGTCGACTTTGTCTTTCTAAAAAATTTTTATAATAGTCCTTGCTTCTTAAATCAAATCATTCAAAATTATTTCCTTTTCTCTTTTACTGTCAAAATTAATAAATATAATGTAATAATTTTTATATTTTAATCTCCAAAAACACTTTATTGCCCAACTTTTCCTCGCAATATGTTATAAACTTTTTCANATGGTCAAATACAATATGAAACACAATGCTACAATACTTATTTAGGGATAGTGCCTAGTCGTTTTTGTGATTGCATAAAAGACAATAACGTGAAATTCGTTTCCCTTAGACGATTAAACTCCTATCCAACCATATGCTCTATTACAATGAGAATTATTGGTTGAACTCTATTAGAATCATGAAAGAGAAAAAGTGATAAATTTATGATTCTGCCAGTCATCGAAATAAGGAGACCAAGGGGTGGGGGGTGGTCTATGTTCATTGCAGTCTGGAAAATGGGAATGCAGACCCGCATATGGAAAAGAGAATTACGATGAGGACTACGAGATTGCATTGCCTATATAAGGCAGTAATAAAGCAGATGATTAGCTCTGATTGCTCTCGTACGACAAATTCCTGGAAAATTTGGAGAAAAGTGTTTGAGCAAATTGATATCGAAATTCTGGCTTTGTCAATACCGTTAATTGAAGGTTTCATATTCCACCAAAAGGGGTGTGGGATAGTCTTACCTCCTCGCGTTGCACCCTGGACAACGTATACTCATGCGGCAAAAAAGTCTATTAACCGGCAGTTGATCTCTCACTTCAAACAACCATCCCCCCCACTGAATGTCATATTCGACCCCTACCACAGTACTCATCTTACCCTTTCTGAGCCTTTGTGTCTGTCTGTTTCTTTTGCATCTGTGAATCACTCTTCTATTCCCCTTCCCGAATTCTTCTCACTTTGATGTTTCTCCTCCCCTCTGTGAAGCCTGAAGTCAACTAAAGAGCTAATGGCAACTATCAAAACGCCTGCCATTTGGTATAAATATTCCACCAAAATAATCGCACTCAATAAAGGCCTAGGTTGCCACATGGTTAACCACCCACGCAAATGGGTCACAGTATTTGTCTGATAAAATCAAAGAAACGTACTGATGCAGCACAACTTTGCTAAAACTGTCACTAATTTTACATATGTGCCCTCTGCAACGGAAAGGTATTTGGTGTGGTACAGCACTCTTCATTTTCTAAAATATATATTTAGTCGAACGTCGATTAAAGAACCTTGATTGACAATGATGGGCCGTAGTTATATCACTAACAGGATTCGGCATCTAATGTGTATCAGTTAAGGTGTGACATAATTGTGGGAAAATTTTTATGACTTCACATGCCCCGATCTTCCTAATTTATAAGCCGATGGATTTCTATGCAAAAATTATTTCTTTGGAAATCCTTACCAAGGTAAGTACAAAACCATAATGGTTAGGAATCTGTGGCTGATGCGGGATTGAGGCTAAAATAGGTGAAACTTTTGAGCAATGATCTTTGACAGTGGTATTAATCCATTGTCTATTTAAGTTCTGTTAAATCGATTAGATTATCTGATAAATAGGCACATATTCTTCATCCTTTTAGATTTGCAAATATTCAGAACACCCTGCATTTGTATACACTTTTGTTCCTTTAGTTTTTCCTAGAAAGCGTGTGTCACGTCAAAATGTCTGCACTAAGTTTGTCAAATAGATAACGCATCTACGAGTGTCAACTTTTCGCAAAAAGATACCGAATAATCAAACATTTCTTTCAATTAAAGTACTTCAACGTTTGCTTATTTTTCTGAAGCAAAATTTGCAGATGAATGCATTTGAATCATTTCTTTTCCAATTGAAATGAAGAAGGAATTTGCTGAATTATTGTAATAATTTCTTTTTTGTTAGCTCATTTACAGCTTCTTGTTGTGTGAACTTCCATTTCCATTATCCTTAACAGCGCGCTTCTTCCCCGTAAAGCAGGAATTCGGTCTTAGTTAAGTAGATTAAAGATTGAACCTGCAGACAATTGCAGACAGTGAAGTGTAGGCTAGAGAGTAAACGTTTTTCCTTTTCCCTATGATCTTAATATCGTCCTATAACTTGCATGAACTTTCCAAATATTACGTAAAAACGAAATAAGTCGACCGACAATCATTGTTGAATACAAAAATGTCATTGTAACAACTTTAAGCGGGACTACACTGATATTGGCACCACCAGGGAGTTTTATATTTGTCATATGAAAACTTCTTTATGAAGATCAGTTTCTGTTAATGCAAGCGCAATATATGGCAGTAATACTATGAAACCTATAATTCAGTTCTATTTTAGCTTATTAACAATCAATAAGCAGATCACGTAAATTCGGCATAAAATCAACACTTCAGCCAATAGGCCAAACATGGAGTCTAATTTGAAGCAAAGTAATAAAATCAAGTTCGGTTAATTGGAT